TTAAAAAAAGAGATGAGATAACACATTTTAGGACAATGCCTCTCAATTCTTGCTTTACATTCAAATCCCCTGAAGATATTTCCAAGAATAAAAGTTCTAGGCCCTATCCCTAAAGACTCCAATTCAGCTAGTCTTGGGTAGGGCCCAAAGCATTGGTGTTTTTTAAAAAAGTGAGTCTGATGTGCAGTCAGAATTGTGACCAACCATGCTAGGGGAATGGCAAAGAGAAAGGTTACTTCTAGCTTAAACGATCTAGAAGAGACTTCATGGCAGAAATGATAATCTGACCTTGGCCACGAATGATGAATGGCATTTCATCCAGTGTTTCTCTGTCTTTGCTGGTATGTTATTAGACTCACCTAGAGAGCTTGGCCTGCTCCATTTTATCTGGAGCATTCTGTCTTCTTTATTAGTAGCAGAATCCCAGTTTTGTTTGGATATGCCCTAGCAGATAAAACATGTTTGGTAAGCCAATGTTTCTCTTCAATAGATCTCACTCTCTCAGACACCCTTGCAGCTAGGGGAGTCATGTGACACAGTTCTGCCAGTGAGTCATAGGGTAAAGGTTTCTAGATGCTCTCCAGATACAATTTTCCTCCATGGTCAAAAGATAGCAGATCTCAGGGAGCTCTTTTTACCACCATGGCTTCCAACTCCCTGTTGCTTCCTCAACACTTACTTTCTACATTTTGAATGCAGTTGTGTGAGGCCATGAGGTTTGGTACTATGGCAGTCAGCTCATGACTATATGGCAGGAGGCTGGGGAGTGGTAGAAGAATTATAGAGCCATCTTGCAGCCCAGAGTCCCAAGTGAATCCTGGAATCTCCCCACTTCTTTTTTCCAGTCACAGGGGGTACATGTGCAGGCTTGTTACATGGGTATATCGCACTCAGGTAGTGAACATAGTACCAACAGGTAGTTTTTTGACCCATGACCCCTTCCCTCCTGCCCATCTCTAGCAGTTTACAGTGTCTATTATTCCCACATTTATGTTTGTGGGTGCTCGATGTTTAGCAGTATTTGCTAAACATGCAGTGAGAACATGCAGTATTTGGTTTTGTGTTCCTGCATTAATTCACTTGGAATTATGGCCTCCAGCTCCATCCATGTTGCTGGAAAAAACATGATTTCATTCTTTTTTATGGTTATGTAGTATTCCATGGCATATATGTACCACATTTTCTTTACCCAATCCACCACAAGTGGGCGCCTAGGTTGATTCCATGTCTTTGCTATTGTGAATAGGATGGTGATAAATATGAGTTCATGTATCTTTTTAGTATAATGATCTATTTTCCTTTGAGTGTATACCCTACTAATGGAATTGCTACAGATTTCTTTTTCTTTTCCGAGATGAAGCCTTGCTCTGTCACCCAGGCTGGAGTGCAGTGGCATGATCTTGGCTCACGGCAACCTCTGCCTCTCAGGCTCAAGCAATTCGTCTGCCTCAGCCTCCTGAGGAGGTGGGATTACAGGTGTGCACCACCACACCCAGGTAATTTTTGTGTTTTCAATAGAGACAGGGTTTCACTGTGTTGGCCAGGCTGGTCGCAAACTCCTGACCACGTGATCAGCCCACCTTGGCCTCCTAAAGTGCTGAGAGGTGTGAGCCACCGCACCTGGCCAGATCTCTTCTTAATGGAGATAGGTACACTTACAGCTTGAACCACTATGGGATTTTTCTATTACTTATGGACAAACATATCCAGATGGATGCATCAACTGATTGCAAATACGGGGCTCAGGTAGGTGTCACTTTTAAATGTTCCCTCCAGGTCCTGAAACATAGTGAATTTTAAAGTTTCTGATGTAGGCATTTGGAGATGTCAGGGAATTGGGAGAACTGACAGGAGCAAAGGCTTAGGGAATACCTTTTTACAAAGTTTCCAAAGGCCCAAAATGGAGGATATTTACTCTGCTAAGGGCATCTCCAGAGGTTTCTCCTGGAGACCAAAACCTTGATCCAATTAAAACAGTTTATTCCGACTTGAGAGTTAAAAGTGATGTATCTCAGCATTCCTAGAAGCCTTAAAATAGTGCCTTGTTTTGCATAGTGCTTGTTAGAAATCAGATTCTTTTTGTTTGTTTGTTCGTCTGTGAAATAATACACACAGGTTGCCTACTTAATAGGAGACACTCAAAAATGCTAGCTCTTTAAGAAGTGTTAATATAAAGAGCAATTCACAGTAGGCCCTTAATGCTGGTTCTTTCCCCTATAATTCTATCCCCATGCCTAGTCTATGGATGTGGAAACAGGCCCGGAGGGGGTGTGTGCTTTCTCAAGATCACCTAGGGAATAAGAAGTAGAGCAGTGACCTGTCATTCTTCTGTGTCCAGCCTAAAGCCAGCAGCACAGACAGAAATCCTGGGCCCTTAGGGCCAAACTGCCACACACACACACACACACACACACACACACACACACACACACTGTTCTCTTTATTCTTTGCTAAAGGCAAGAGGCCACCAGAGCAGGCATGGGACTCAGCACCCAGTGGCTAGTGGGGTCCTCTGTATGGCACCCACTGGCAGCACTTGGCTTTGGTCTCAGTTTCATTTGGTTATTTCTTGTTCGATGATTGAGAGCTCTGAGGCATTCAAGACCTTTAAAAACCAGGTGTAATTTAATTCCTAATTTTTAGTTCCTTGCTTATCTTCTCCCACTCCCCCAACACTTTATTTTATAGACACGTTCATTAATTCATTCATTCGTTCATTCATTCATTCATTCAATACATTCTTTACTATATGCCCGACCAGATGGTCTTACCAGGAGGTCTAAAAATAATCTTCAGTTAACATTATGCTTAATGGTGAGAAACTGGATCCTTTCCCCTTAAGCTTGGGAACCAGGCGAGGATGTCATCTCTTACCGTCTAGCGCAATAAAATACACAAACAAAAAGAAATAAAAGCTATATGGATTGAGAAGGAAGAAGTAAAGCTGTTGTTATATGCAAATTTTCAGTGTTGCAAAAGAAGTAGCACTCAAATATAAATTCCCTCAGCAAGGCAATTTACTTCCATAGAAGGGTGCGGCTCACAGATGGAACAACGGTGAGTGTACACCTGGGCAAGGGAGAGGAAGGGGTACTTATTACTGACGGAGGTCACCCCTACTGCTGTGTCACTCCCTTGTTGGCTAGGGTTAGACCTCACAGTCTAGTCTAATTCAGATTGACTGTTTTAAAGGGAACAGGGGTACAAGCCCAAGTGGTGGGATGGGTAGTTTGGCAGGAAGGACAGTTACAGGCAGGTCAGAACAGGTAGCCAGGGGTGACCTAGGTCAAAGCAGGCGACTGGGGCAGGTGATCAGGATGAGTCAGGTCAAAGCTGGTAACCGGAGCAAGGAGCAGGGAACAGATGTGAACTACTGATTAAAACTGGTGGAAAAGGTTGTTTACTGAAACTACAAGAAAATTAAACTTTAAAATGGAGAATTAAAGAATAAGAGAGGTAAACATATGACATACTGATTCTTTGAAGAGAAACTTAAGGTTCGCTATACCTAACAACTGTGTGTACTCATAGATGACATCGTTGACTATGTAAAAAAAAAAAATAAAAACCGAAGAAGCCAAGTGCGGTGGCTCACATCTGTAATCCCAGCACTTTGGGAGGCCAAGGTGGGCAGATCACTTGAGGTCAGGAGTTCAAGACCAGCCTGACCAACATGGTGAAACCCCGTTTCTACTAAAAATACAAAAAAACAGGCATAGTGGCATGCACCTGTAATCCCAGCTACTCAGGAGGCTGAGGCAGGAGAATCGCTTGAACCCAGGAGACAGAGGTTGCAGTGAGCAGAGATCGCGCCACTGCACTCCAGCCTGGGCCACAGAGAGACTCCACCTCAAAAAAAAAAGAAAAAAGTAAAAGCCCCCAAGAATCTATAAAGTTTTCTGGAACTAAGAAGCAAAAATGGCAAGGACATAAGATCAATATATTAAAAAAATCAATCCTCTTTATTTAATTTATACATTTAATGCAACTCCATAAAAACACCAATCCTCACTATGTTACCCAGGCTAGCAATCCTCCTGCCTCAGGCTCTGAGTAGCTGGGACTACACGCTTGACCTCAGGTGTTTTTTGTTGTTGTTGGTTTTTGTTTGTTTGTTTTTTTAAATGAGAGTCGAGTCAGATGATGTTTAAGACATCTCTGAAATTCTAGAATTCCTGGATGCGTGAACAGCTGCATATTGGGGTTTCCCTTTGTATCTCCTGGGTGCCTCCTGATTTGAAGGCTCGTTCAGGATGTGCAGAACAAGTTAAAGGAATCAGCACACTGTGTTGGGGAGGAATTCATGAACTGTAAGCTGGCTACCAGGGCCAAGGACTTCCTCCCAGCTGACATCCAAGCTCAGTTTGCCATCAGCCGGGAGCTGATCCGGAACATCTACAACAGCTTTCACAAACTTCGGGACAGGGCTGAGCGGATCGCGTCGAGGGCCATAGACAACGCTGCATATCTTCTCATATTCGGGAAGGAGCTAAGTGCCATAGGGTCTGACACGACCCTGCTGCCCTCCTGGGCCGCTCTGAACAGCAGCACGTGGGGGTCCCTGAAGCAGGCTCTGAAAGGCCTGTCTGTAGAATTTGCGCTGCTCGCCGACAAGGCTGCACAACAGGGTAAGCAGGAGGAGAATGACGTGGTGGAGAAGCTGAACCTCTTCTTGGATCTGCTGCAGTCGTATAAGGAGCGGGACGGCATGCGGGCCATCCTGGGCTCCTATCACAGTGAGCTGACCCCAGCTGAGTAGTCGCCCCAGCTGACCCGGCGCATGCGGGAGGCCGAGGGCATGGTGCAGAGGGTGCACAGCCACAGCGCCGAGATGGAGGCTTGACCGATTTAAAAGTGTAGGCATATCTTTCTCTTCACCCTCGGGGTATTAGATGAATTTGTATCTTTAAGTGTTAGTGCAGAGAGAGCAGAGAAATGGCTGAAGAGGAAGAACAACAATTCAGAAGATGAATCGGCTCCTAAGGAAGTCCACAGGACTTTCATCGCTGAGAATATTCATACTCAAATGTGTCATGCTGGGCAAAACGAAGAGGAGTTTCTCTCTCCTTTTGATACATTGGATTCTTCTGGTTTTTCAGGAAGTTTTTCAGGAAGACCATCTTCATCATCTAGCTGTTCAAGTGGTTCCACGATGACTGGTGAGGAGTTGTTGTCAGCAAGAAAACACCTTCACTGCATCGTTCAAATGCCTTTCTTGCTGCTGGTTTAGAAGCAAATCAACAATGCCTTTTCCTACAGATCTTCCACGGTCATCCACTATTACAACAGCCCTTTCAATAGGACCAAACTGGCTGAAGGTTTCTTCCAACAGTTCATTGGAAACGTAAGATGAAAGATTACGAACAGAAAGGGCAGCAGCATGTGTGGCAAAGCGAACTCGAAGCTGTCTACATCTCATGGGTGTATCATCGAGTTCAGCTTTGGCAATTTCAGCCAGAGCTCTGGATTCAAGCTTCATAAATCTGAATCCTTTGCCTTTGTTGATAAAAACTTCTCCAGGTTCTCCATATTTAGCAAATATTCTTTTGAATTCATCTTGCGTGATATCAGCAGGTAGATTCCCAACAAACAACGGACATCGCTGTGTGTAAGTTTTCTCTCCAGGCCTCCTCAAAAGAGACAAGCTGGCTTTAAACCCCTCCGAGTCCGAGATTTTCGCCTCGCTGCGGTCGCAGGGCCCAACGGGCGGGGGCCCCTGGGGGTGCTGCTGGTGGCTGGGCAGGTGGTGCCGGCGGCCCCCGCGAGGCTCCCCGCTGCGTCGCTGCGGCGGCTTCGGGTGGCCGCTAGGAGTGCTTAGGCCCGAGCAGCCCCCTGGCTTTTGCCGCCTTTGGGACCGCCCGGGCCTGGGCCCTGCTTAGGCCCCGGACCTGGGCCCGGGCCGCCGAGGGCGCAGGCGGCAGGCCTCCGGCCTGAGGAGGTGTGGTAGGGACCCCGCCAAGTGGCGGCGCCCCGGGAGGGGCCGAGGTGACCGCGGGCGGCGGCGTCGGGGTCGGGGTCGGGGTCGGGGTCGGGCCTGGCCCGGACCCTGGCTGGGTCCCCGAGGTCGGCGGAGTGGCGGACAGGGCCGAGCTGGAGGCTGGCGGCGCGCTGCCCACTCCGGGGCCGGGTCCCTGAGCAACGACGGGCTTGGAAGAGTCCTGCGGCGATGGCGGCGGCGGCTGCTGTCGGTGTGGAGGCGGTGGCGGGATCGGAGGCTTGGGGCCGCTCGGGCCCGGGCCAGGACCCGCGGGGCCGCGGCTCTGATTGAGGCCTATGCCGGGCGGCGGGGAACGGAAGTCGTGGAGGCCGCCGCGGCCGCCGCCTCCTCCGCGCCTGTGGAAGCCGCCATCGCCACCGCCGCGACTCCGGAACCGATCCCGAGACATGTCTGTGGTCAAGGGGCGGTCGAGGCAGAAGCGAAGAAGACGCTCAGGAAACGTGGAGGCCGCCTTGCTTCCCACAAAATGGCGGATGACACTGGCCGCAAACATCTTTAAGGAATATCTTGGTGATTTCACACAGGAATTTCTCCCTGCTGTTCAGATGTCTTATTAATTTGTATTATGTATATTACTTCTTCTTTGCAATTTAACTCTGTGTTTGTATGTGTGTGAGAAATCAGATTCTTGTACCACCCTCTCCTAAAATATTTGGACTCAGTAGGTCTGAGGTGGTGACCAAAAATCTGCATTTTCATTAAGGACTTCATTCTGATGTGAATAGTCCATGGACCTCACTATGAGAGCCACTGCTGTGTTTACCAAACTTCACATTTCGAAGGAAGTGATTTGTTGGGTAAAGTGTATGTGTGTAATCTCTATAAACACCTGCCATCGGTTGAATTTAATTGGACCACAGCTGGTGTTGATTGCATATTTTTTAATGTGGCTTTTCAGTACTCACTCCCCTAGCACAGCCTTTATGTCTGAAAATCAGCATTGAGTCCAATCTTGGCTGTCGATTTTAAGGCTTATTTAAAGGCACATGACAGCTGGAGCTGCACGTTCTTCAGCTTAATGATTCTACATATGGACTTAGGAGTTTAGGTGCAGTGTGTTGAAAGCAGGATTTCCACCGTGATTGGGTAGCTGTCAGTTGGTTTTAGAAACTGTGAGTCACTTGCTTTCAAAGTCAGCTTAGGCAGATTATGTCACTACCTACTCCAGTGGAAGGCTCACTATCCTGAAAATAGTCATCAAGGTTGCTGCAAGCCTAGATGGGTCTGTGTATGTGAATTGGAGAAAGGTGACTCTTCCCCAGGCAGAAGGCACTCCCTGGCTTAATAAGTAGTACAAAATCTGGAGAGTGGAGGGAGAAGCCATCTAAAACAAAACAAAACAAAACTGGGGTGTTATTAAAAGATGAGGAAATGGTGAGAGTGTTCATTGCTGCTGGAAACAAGGTCTCAGTGTGCTGATTTTCCATATGATTCACCCTCCCATCCAGGCATCTCTTATGCAGTGCACAACCCATACAACTATATATGACAGCTATGTAGGGTTTAAAGTCTTGGTCAGAATTCAAGAGTTGGAAGAGCTCCAGACATCAAACTGGTGGTTGTGAGTGTTGATGGGAAAATAAAAAACAGAGCAGCAAGACTTCATTAAATAAGCCAGATGGCATGGACCTTTGTCGTGAAGGGTAACCAGAAGGAAAGAGGCTGTGTTTGGCATTTACCCCTGAGCAGCCACTTGTGCTTTTTCCAAAGGTCATGGTGCGTCATGGTCACTTGGGCTCCATCACAGAACGCCTGCCCATAGAGGACTGTTTCCAGCAGGAGTGGACACACTCAGGATCCCTTCTCCATTTAGGCTAACAATACCCCAGTTGTCCTCTGAAGAATTGCTTCACTTCCCCTCACTGTTTTAATGATTTGGGTTTAAAATCAACACAGCAACTCCAGGGATGAACAAATGACTTTCGCATCAGCGTCCAGGGTAAATCTCCCAGGCAGTGCTTGGCTTTGGCATTCACAGTCTTTGGAATCAGTTGGCAGGCCAGCAAAGTGGTACAACCTGAGTCTTAGTAGCTGAGCGACCTTGAATGTCCTAACCTTTCTGTGGCAGACAGACTCTACAGTGGCCCCCATGATTCCCACCTCATAGTACTCATGCTGTGTGTGATCTCCTCCTCTCGAGTGTGGGTGGGACCTGTGTCTGGCTTCCCACTGAAAACTATGACAAAGGCTGTGGAATTATGTCACTTCTGGGATAATATTATGTAAGATTATAACATGTATCTTGCTTGAAGACTCTCTTTCTCTCACTGGATCAGAAGTAGATGGCTATGTTGGGAAGGGCCATGTGTCAAGGAACTGAGGGTTTCTGGCCAAGCATCAAGAAACTGAGGTCCTCAGTTCTACAGCCAACTAGGAATGGATCACTAAAAACAACGATGGGAGCTTGGAAGCAGATCCTTCCCCCAGTTGAGGCTCAGATGAGACCACAGCCTTGGCCAAAACTTGGATTGAAAACATGGAAAACCCTGAGAAGAAGACCTACTTAAACTACTTCCAGACTCTTCACCACAAAAACTGTAAGGCAGTAAGTGTGAGTCTGTTGGAAGCAGCTAAGTATGTGTCCATTTGTTATGTAATGATAGGTAATTAACACATTTTCTCAGGAAGACGATGGAAAGATGATCACACGATTGCCAGTAAGGCCCCACTAATTGTGAAGGTTAAAATAGGATATTGTAGGGATAGCCTGGTACATAGTAGGCACTCGATAAATTTCACATCTCTTCCTCTCGAAATCAGCTGGCGATCTCAGGATGCCAATCATATGGGAAGTATTCAAACTGAACCCAGTGCCAGAATTACCCCAGGAAAATGCCCGCAGAAGTTAAAAAACCAGGCTTCCTTTGTGGAAGATAAAATCATTTTGCATCATACAGGAGGCTGTGCACAAAGCAAAAACTGTTTCATAATCCTACATGTAAACCAGCTGGGATTTTCCTTCACAAAAATTGGATTTTGATTTATATGTCAATAAATGCCCCCAGAAATCTCATCATTTGAAAGTTCATCAATCTCCACTGGAACTGCAGATACAGCCCTAGAGGAACCTCCCAGGGAAATACAGCACTGTTTACCAGCTCCCCCACCCCTGTGCTGATGGGGCCATGAAAAAGGGAGTGAGCAGCAGGGGAAATGGGGTCACCTACTGTGGCTTCACAGTGTCAGGCCAAGAACTTCCCTGGAAGAGTTTGAGAGTGCCTGGTGTTTTGGGGACCTACATGAGATGTGGCAGGGCTGGGGCACACATAGAGTTGTCACTTGAGAACGGGGAGCTGGGAAGGGGCCAGGTTTTTAGTAGCCTTGAATGATAGAACACAAGATTTGAGTTTCGAAGCAAGAGAATGGCATATGAGACTTGAATATTGGAAATGGCATTCCAGCTGCAATATGAAGAACAGGTTGGAGAGGCAAGACAGGGGTCAGGAAGACCAGTTACGAGCTTTTTCAGTTCTGAGATGAGTAATAATGGTGCCCTGGATGAAGGTGGCAAAGGGGATGGGGAGATGGAAATGGATGTAAGAGCTCTTGGGGAATTCATTCTGGCAAGCTTGGTGATTAACAAGACTGGACAGAAAGGGCTGCTAGGATGACACGAGTTTCTGACTTAAGTAAGTGAGGGAATAGTGGCGACATACAAACTGGAATTGTGAAAGACAAACAACATAACCAGCGGCCAATCAGAATTCTCAGAACAGTCCCAGAAGAGCTTTTCACTAAAGAGTTAGGGAAGTCTCAAGTCAGGAGAGCACAGCCTCTAGCTAGGAGAAAATTGCCCCAAATCAGTGACTTCATGCATTAGACCATGAAAACCTCTGTCACAGACACTCCCTAGAATATCCTCTTAGGGGACGTTATGACCTAGCTACAAATGAGTCACAACATCCCTTTCAACCTAATAAGGTTCTTTCTATACCAGCCATGACTACTTTGGCTGTTCTGACATAAAGGATTAAATCGATTTGGTTGAACATTTTACTGAACTAAGGAGATATTTGGCTGACCAATAAAATTGACAAATGTGTGCTATGTGTTTGAGGGCTTGTCAATTCCATTTTCACTCTCCTTCCTTAATGGAAGCCTATATCAAGTCTTAAAAGACTCCAGTCTTCTGCCCTCAATCTGTCCAGCACACAGCCAATTATCCAATATCCTAAGTTCACAGAGTCATTGTCAGGACTAAGTGCCATGATACACATAAAACACTTACCACAGTTCTTGGTACAAAGGAGAAGCCCAAAATTTCTCATCAGCAGCACCATTGTCATTATTATCATCATTGTTATTAGTCATATGTATGAATCTTGTCCTAGCACTTTCCTGCTGAAAAGCCTCCATGGCACCACACTGCCTATAAGATAGAGTTCAAACTCCTTAGCTTGGCCTTTACTACATGACATCATCAAACCAGTCCAGGTTAAATGTGCTCAGCCCTCTAACATGTGTCCTGCATTTCAGCCATAACATAACGTATTTTGCCAAAGGCTGGGGGGGAACTAGATACGAATGAGATGTTTGCTGGCCTCACAGAACTCGTGATCTATTTGTAGATTAAAACACCCCTAGTCAATGCCAGGCAGGGTGCAACTTTCTAACTAATTGGAGATGTGATGCCAGGCTCAGAATGGTCCCTGATAAGCAGAAGAGAAGCCTGCAGAAAGTCCCCTTGGCCAGACTCAGCTCAGAGCGTTATACTGGACATTTTATATAATCATTGTTCAGTTTTTGAGCCAGGCATTGTTCTAGGATTTGCCATATATTACCTTGTTTAATTAATCACTGCTGTATGAGGTGTGTATTTTTATTCCCATTTTACAGAAGAAGAGCCTGAGGTTTAAGGAGATTAAGTAACTTGCCTAAAGTTACTCAGTGAATAAATGACAATGCTAATTCTAGTCCAGATATTTGTTTATTTATTTTTGAGTCGGAGCCTCGCTCTGTCACCAGGCTGGAGTACAGTGGTACAATCTTGGCTCACTGCAACCTCCAACTCCCTGGTTCAAAGGATTCTCCTGCCTCAGCCTCCTGAGTAGCTGGGATTACAGGTGTGTTCCACCACGCCCAGCTAATTTGTGTATTTTTAGTAGAGACGGGGTTTCACCATCTTCGGCGAGATGGTCTCAATCTCCTGACCTGGTGATCCTCCCGCCTTGGCTTCTCAAAGTGCTGGGATTACAGGTGTGAGCCACTGCGCATAGCCCAAGTCCAAATATTTTTAACTGCAAATTACATAACACTTTCAAGGCCACTGGAACAAGTTTCAGGTTTGGATTGTCACTGAAACTCACAAGACATGATAGGCTTACCAGGCATAAGGTTTGCTTCACTTTAAAAGCCCAGGAGTTTGAGACCAGCCTGGGCAACAAAATGAGACCCCATCTCTACAAAAACTTAAAAAAATAAGCTGGGTATAGTGGTGCAAACCTGAAGTCCCACTTACCAGGGATGCTGT